AATGGGAATAGTTTACCGTGAAAGTTTGAGATTTTTTCATGGCTTTTATTCTAAAAATCGATACATACCAGTAGACAAAAAACTGAAGCTTTGAGAATAGTATTAAAGAACAAAAGTGAATATAGTTACAACAGTGGAACAATCAAAAGATTTGACTAAATTTTTGTAGAACAACCAATAAAATTACATATTTAAAATGAATTTTATTAATCAAGTGCAGCATATTCAAAATCACTTTTTCTTTATAAACAGAAAGAAAACAAATTTTATATAAGGAAAAAATTGGTATTGTAAAACAAATTGCTGTCATATGTCAAGTTATCACTTGTGTTCGCTAAGTACTAAATGCAAGTTTATATTCAGATGTGTCCATACAAAATACACAATCAAAACAATTAAAACGTGAATACAATAAGTGTATTTTGTCCAGTAGAATCTTAGGGGTGCCTGTTGAACGAGCAAAATACATGCATCCATTTGGTCTTAAAAGATTGATCTTTAAAAAAAATATATTTATCTGAATAAAAAAATTACTTAAATCAACGCAATTCCAATATCGAATATTTTTAATGTTTTGTCCTAAACCGTTACTTCATTGTTCTATTTGCTCCTCAGTTGGCGTTGATTTTTGTTTAAACAATGTATCTTTTTCTCATTTTTCAAAGCTTTTTCGTGTGACATTTACTTATGTGGCAGGTTTATTAGCATCAATCAAAACATGATCGTCTTTGTTAACAACAATGCAATTTTTTCATTTGTATACAACTTGAATAGCGTCATCAGATGATAGATAACGATAATGATAGGTTCTTTGTTGATGGAACAATCACTGAATAACATAGTACACCATAATAACACAATCTTGATCATAAAAATAATACAATTTAATCAATTTTTTTCGTTGTTTTGATACTTTGTTTTTTCTAAAATATATTTTGCATTCGAATATTTCTGAAACAATTGTTACATGAACCTGTATGTTGAATAGCATTTTTTTTAAATTGATTTTTTTAATCTTTACTTCTAAATTTAGGCAAATCATTTTCATTTATTTTATAAAAGTATACGAACATCTCAATACTAGAAATGGCGAAATACATCGGATATTTATATTGCGATTAGGGAACATACAGTGCGGAAAAAGTGTTAAGTTCGAATCAAGCCTTCAAAATGCTCCATTAATCCTGTAAAGTTTTTCCAATCTATTATTGAACATATAAATGTGTCGCATGTTTTCATATTTGTATTTTTAATAGATAGCAAGCCACATTATTTAAGGATAGTCACAAATTGTCAAGTGATAAAAAGCTTGACAGTTACTCATGCACAGCACGAAAAATATTTTTATTTAATCAGTTTGAAATAATTCTTATCAAAATTTCTGATGAATCATCGGAAAGTTTGTTATCTAGAGGAAAAACAGATTTTATAAAATGACATTTTATTTTACGACTTATCAGTCTTCAGAAATGATAATTCGAATTTGAGATACAATGGAAAATTATTTTATTGTTAAAAAACAAGTTCTTTATACACATACGACATCCTTTTATTGACGAATAGCACTTGCATTTATGATTACTTGTCTTGATTTCTCGACATATAATCATGAAAATAGTACAACGTTTTAGTTTTCTATCAGTATAGGTTAGTGAAGCTTCGCAAGAGCAAATAATAAAAGTAAAAATTTATCTATTCAATTATTGATTGTCGATCGAGTCATAGATAATGTCTCTATATATTACCGGCTATTGTTGTATTCAGTAAGACATTATCTGTGACTTAAGAATGAAAATTCAGTCTACTTTTGGATGAAATGTATGTTAGATATACATTAGTTCGAGGAAAGCTTGTCATCTCGATCGTGAGTGAACTATAAAACCATGTATATCTACTTTGAATTTCTTTGCTATAAGACAAACAATTAATTGATAAAAATAAAATGAACTTTACTTAATAAAAAGGATGTAAGTGTGTGGTGTTGTAGGTGGGTATGCGTGTCTGAACCTATCACACCCCATTCACATCCATACCCTCAAGTTACGTATCGATTCAAAAAGCTAGCGTTCTCTACAAATTAAAAAACTTTCATTTCATTGTACAACTTTTTCTATTCGTCCTCTACAAACTGCAATCACAAAGTTAATTTTACAAACTTTCATTTGACAATTGACATCAATTTTTCACTAAAATTTCAGAAAACAAATGTTTTTCATTTTAGCATTTACAAATCAAAAGTTTGAAATTAAAATATTTAAATCTTCGTTTCTCATAAAAAAAAATTATATTATTCTCAACATTACATCGAAGGAAAATTTGAAAAAATAATTTCAAATTTAAGTTCTTTTTTATTCATATTCGCAAAAGAGAAGTAGCCAAATGAAAAATTCTTTATACACTTTCTATCGTAAATCATTCTACGATACGTTACAGCAGTTGTTTGTTATTTGTATGTGTTGAGCAACTCATTGAAATGATAATTTTTGTCGACAATCAATTAAACGAGATGCCATCCCGGTGAGGATCTTCTAACAGGTTTCAAGCGATGTGGTGGCAATTTATATAAGTTCTTTTATGGTTGTGGATATTGATTTAATATCCTCGTTTATTATCACACTTCTAAAGACATTATTGATAATATCAATCCAAGTTCAAATTTATGCTCATTATATTCGACCATTAGATCGTCTTCTTGTTTGATGAATCTGGCTTTAAGTAAAATAAAATCACTTTGTCTTTAATCATTTGACTCCATATATTGTTTCTATGAAAGAATGATGGGCTTCACATGGACAATGTTGATGTACTTGTATTATTTGATAAGCATGACCGTCCATTAAGATGATAACATAAGACTTGTTGCCTCTGTAAACATGCATCAATTATACTACTGATGAGTATTCAATTATTTGTTCCTCCATGAGACCGATTTGCAGTAGATATAAATAGTTGTATATTATCTGGTAAAAGATCAGAGCTACTTTTAAGTTTGATAATTAGTTCTTTTCAAAAATCGACAATGAGTGAATATGGAAAGGAAGCATATTCAAGAATACCATGACAAGCATAACATTTGATAAAACATTCCTTGTGTTCATCTTGATTTGTATTTTCTCCGCATCTAAGACAAATATCAAATATACTTTTACATTCTTTTTTTCTATGCTCAAATGTGTTAGATCTTCAGTAGATAAGTAATGGAGGCAGCGCAAGAAACTCGGATATGTCAAGTAGTTATTCTTCAATAGCTAGCACTTCTTCATTTAGCAAACATATATATTCATCATGAGCGGTTGAACCACTGCATATCTGTTGGCTTTTTCTATCTATTATTCCGCACATTTCTTCCATGTGAAACAGTAATTGATATTTGGAACATATTTTATTTTTAATATCATCAACATTCATATCTTTTGACACATGTTTAAGAATGACCGAGTGTTGAGGAGGAATTGATTTTGGAGAATTTGCATTGATTATTATATTTAATAGCTTGTCAGAATAATTTTTGTGAACCACGTACAAATACGACCAGTTCAATTTCACATGTTTAACATTGTAAATTACCGTCGCAACCAATAAACAAATAACCAAAATCAAGTGCTTAAATAAATTTAGCGTTCAGTTTTCAAAAACTTTTTTTCGACTATTGAGAATAATTCTTTTATAAACCTGGTAGTATGTTTCTGATCAGTCATTTTTGGTTCAAATTTTATATTGAAAGGTGGTAAATATTGCTCGATAGTGAATCAGTTATAACTTGTTCTGTTAATTTGCTTATCATGTTTTCCTTTTGGCTATTCTTGAGATCATTGTCATGTCTCCATTGCTACATGTGTATGAGATAGTTGTTATGCTTCTTTTCTGTATATAGTGCTGTTGTTGAAGATGATCTAAATCATCATTCTTGTACGTGACCTTATTCTGTTCTTCATAATCATTGTCCTTATTTTCACGTTAAAAGTTTTTGGGGTGATGTGCGACTATCCGAAATCTATCTTCATCATCAGAGACAAAATAATTTGATAATCATCAACAAATGTTCGTTATTCACCGGAATCTTGTCGAAGTTTTCTTTTTCACTATTGCATTTTAAAATTAGTTATTGTATATTTGCATCGTCAAACATTCAATCTTTCATCACTGACGACATTTTAGTATAGCCATTGTACAACATTTACATCAGCGGATTCTTAACTTGTTTAGCTGGTTGTTAATAAATCGATAATATATAATGATAAAGTACTATGGATACACGTGGTGTATAAATGAAATTCACGTATACTCGTACGAAATGAGAGAAAAAAAGTTACACTTCGAACGAACATAAATAAAGCAAGCTATATTAGAAAATGGTGTGATAATATTAATCTATTCTTTTTCGAATGGATCAAGAAATATATCATCATTGTTTGACAGCTGGTTGCAGTCCCATTATAGAAAATGTATCGTAGGCTTATAATGAATAAAGAAGTAAAGTAATGAATAGATGAAAACGATGTGGCTAATATATTTTGCGATGTTAGTGATATTTGAGTAAGTGACAATCGTCAGAACTCTCCGTAGGATATAACTACCGTATTTGTTTTAGCCGCTCAGGTATGTATTTTATTTTTAGATTTTCCATCTATCCACTTGTTTTAACCTATGTAAGTGAATCAAATCGAAGCTGAGCCATGTCAAGGCACCATTCAATATGATCAATGTTCGTCCAATACCGCATGTGGTTGTCTGCCTTTGGCAGCCAATGGCAATAGTAGCATTTGTGGTTATCTTTATCTCGTCTGCTCCGAACTAACCTTATGTAACAGAGATAATTACATGTGTTATGAACCTGATCATGTGTGTGTCAAACATCCACAATGTCAACACTCTCCAATATGTTATCCAAATGATATGACCACCCAAGTGATGTGTCCATCAATGACAACAAGTAATCAGTAAGAATGACAAGTCTATTATATTCATTTCTCTATCATCTAGCTTCTCCTGAACCTATCATGCCTGAAGATGGTATATGTGTGAGTGCAACATGGGACGAGCATGGTGTCACTGTGGCTGGAGGATTTGGACGTGGAACTGCATTGAATCAACTCAATAGTCCATGGGGATTGCATGTAGATGACGATGATACCATCTATGTTGCGGATACGAGTAATCAACGAGTGGTCAAATGGGCATCAGGAGTCTCTAGTGGACAAGTAGTGGTTGGTGGAAATGGGTTAGGCAATCATAATAAACAGCTATGGGGTGTGACAAATCTTGTTGTTGATAAGAATGGAACCATGTTTATGTGCGATCGTTTTAACAAGCGAGTACAGCGATGGTATAAGAATGACAATGATGGTCAAACGATCATTGCAAATATTTCATGTTCAGGAGTGACAATGGATAATGAAGGAACGTTGTATGTCTCCGACTTTGAAGAGAATAGTGTAATGAAAATGCCTAGTGGTCAGGTGGTTGCTGGTGGAAATAGCAGAGGAGCGGCTCTCAATCAATTTTCGTATCCGATCAGTTTATTTGTCGATCGGGAGAAGTCAATTTTCGTGGCTGACTATTATAATAATCGCGTAATGAAATGGCCCATCGGCGCCCATGAAGGTATTGTTGTGGCTAGTGATAATAAACAAGCAAGTGATGAAAACCGGTTCAGTAGACCTGTTTCTGTAGCCTTTGATCAAGTTGGCACCATCTATGTTCTTGACTCATTCAATCATCGGGTGATGCGTTGGTTCAAAGAGGATGGCTCGGTCAGTGTCATTGTTGGAGGACGAGGATCCGGCAACGAGACAAATCAACTATCATATCCATATCATATAACATTTGATCGTCACGGCAATTTATATGTAGCCGATACAGCAAATCATCGTGTTCAAATGTTTGCTATTGACAAAAGCTCTTGTGCTTCAGGTAGATTTGAAGCAATGTTATTGATAAATTAATTGTTTTCATTTACTTGATTTAGTTCCAATCAAAAATTAAACATTGTTTTGATAAATGAAATTGAATAGTCAAGCTGCTTTAGCATTCATTTAATAAATAAATCTTTTCCATCTAATAAATCTTATTGAACATGTTTCAATTCGTTGTAAAAAGCTATAATAATTATAAAGGATGTTCCAGAAGTTCTGAAGTAATTTTGAAATGCATCGTTCTCGCATTTAACAAAAGCAAACTCTTTGAAACTTTGGCAAATTATTTCACATGCTTAATACTAAATAACTACAAAGTTTCAAGTCTATGACTTGTATTATGGATGAGAACCAATAACAACACTATCATGTACTATTTTTTTCAATTTTCCAGCAGCTAAAATTCGATATAAGAATGGCAAAAAAGTGTTATTTCGACCTCTCTAGTCAACATCTATTAGAACAGAAAAATGTTTCTTTACGAACGTATTTTCGTTTCTGCACATATCAATGACAAGAATATATAAAGGTCAATATTAGTCCATTGTGACTGAATCAACACTAAATGTCACATCAACTATCTGCTAATGATAAAAAAAGTTTCGTTCTTCCATTTTACATTTAAATACATTACAACCATCATGAGAACGAAAAGAAATTACAAAACTCCTTGACGTTAAGCCTGTTAAAAACGTTTGGGATGCATTAAAAGAGAAACTACAAGGACGGCAATACAATAATATTGAACAAATTAAAAAACGACATTAAAAAGGAATGTAACAAATTTAGTGTTTCATTATGTCAACAATTGATGGATAAAATACCAGAATGATTGAAATTAGTAATTGATCAAGGTGGTAATCAATTAAGAGAACAATGATAACTATTATTGTGTGTGGTTTTTTTTATTTCCATTAGTTGCATTTTTTAATAATAACCAAGATGCTCAGGAAAATGAAAAAAAAAATAGTACAAGATAGTGTTGTTACTGGTTCTCATCCATAGTACAAACTATAGACTTGAAACTTTGTAGTTATTTAGTACTAAGCATGTGAAATAATCTGCCAAAGTTTCAAATAGTTTGCTTTTGTTAAATGTGAGAACGATACATTTTAAAATTACTTCAGAATTTCTTAGACACCCTTTATATTCACAAAATTTGATGAAACTAGCATAATACATATAACTCTCACTATATGATATAAGTCATATACATAAGAGATATGTTCTGGAAGATTGATATTTACATTCAAAAAAATATGTTTGAAAAGATCAGTTTTGATAAAACGCTAATAGGGAAATTTTTTCCTTTCCTTTCTCCTACTCTGATAAACTTCTAGGGAAAGGTCTATCTCAACTAGAAATAATTATGTAAGCATCTATTAATTATCAAAACTATCAGATCACACCTAAAGTTCTGATAGACACTATGGTTTTTGCAGTTCGATTTTGTAAAACAACAGTTTTAAATATTTATATTTCTTGATACAGAAAATACTGAAAATTGAAACTTTTATCTTGATTAATATATTCGATATTGTTATTTTTTTTTTAAATTGTGATCATTTCAAATCGCTAGCTCTTTCTATTCTGGTATTATTACAAAAAAAAAGACGTTGTTGTTATATATTTAGATAGACGGTATCTATTCGTAATGTTTCAATACATTGGTATATCAAATTATGGAACAGAAATAGAATCTCACATTATTCTATACAAGAAAGAAAGAGTGCATAATGGGCATGATATCAGCATTGTTTATACTATCTATATTAACGGCTGTTGTCTATCTGATTGACAGGAGAAAATAAGTATGGTACCATTCACAAACATTCATAAGATAATTCAATAGCATATGAGAATGATCTTTTCTTTAGTGCTGTTCTGCTGTACTACTATTATTCAAGTAAATAGTGTATTGGAAAATGTTTTTTGTACATTACCATCATCAATTGAGTTAATAATTCAAAATATTCCAACAACATTTGAGTTAAATGTACCTTATACAAGTAAATCAAAATTTTACTAACTAAAATTCAAAGATGAGTTTTATTTTAGTTATTCTTTCTTCGAATAATACATCTTTATTATCCTACGTAACACTTGATATCGAATATATTGATACAATTTTTAATATAAATAATGATTCTTTTTGTCTTCCAACAAATGAATCATCTTCATCATATATTTACAAGACAAAATTTATATTAAAATTTGAAAAAAATTCAACAACAACCAATTGTATTCAATTAAAGTAAAATTTATATTTGTAATTTGATTCATTTTTCACTCTTCATTTTTCTAGACTACATAATTATATGAATTCAACAGAAATGATAATAATTAATATGTGTACAAATCATAGCACAGGTGTAGACAATTATCGAAAAACAATATATAGTCATAAAAATAAAATTATACATATTCATATTTAGATAAAATATTTGATAATGATGATAAATATGATGTACAATCTTATATGAGAACAATTAATACTACTGAAATAGCACTTCTGGATAATTTCAAGTAGGCAACTATTACTTTTCTATTCATAATATATATATAACTATCTATTGATTTAGTTGGTTAATTTTTGGACCACATGTACGAGAAATCTGGTACTGAATAATATTATTAACAATTATAAAGATTTTTTTTTTTGTTTCAATATAGGTACACACATGAAGGTATGCGATTAAGTCGTGAATGTGATGCTGCAGAAGATGGTCGTGTAGCTATATTTAATAATCCAAGAGGCAAACGAAGACTAGTAAAAATCTTCTTTGCTTTATTTTTTTTTTCTTGTATTTTTCTTCTATTTTGGCAAAATAGATCTCACGTCCGATCGATCTATCAAATGTATCATTATTTTATATGCGTCTTGGTAGTGGAACGTGTTCACCACCTGCACCTACAGATCCACCATTTCAATTATTAATCACAACAGATTGTCTTAATTATTCAAATTGGCTTGTTGTTTATTCACAACAGTAAAATAAAAAATAATAATAATAATAATTTTTGTTTCTTATTGAATATTATTTAAAAAAAAAACATTCTTTAGAATTTTACCCGGTATCGAACATGTTACTGTACCATTATCATTAAATAATATAACAAATTCTTCAACTGTATGTTTAAAAATTGAACAAGATGGTGATAAATTTGTTGGTAGTGGTTCTTGGTTTATAGATGATTTGTTAATTACTCGATTTCGTTTACAAAATGAATATTTTTTTGAAACATTTAAAACAATGCGATTAACAAATTGGTATCGGTTAGTTGGTGGTCACTTGAAAGTAAAATTTTGTTTTATAAAGATAGTATAAAATTATTCTTCTATTTAGACATGTGATGGACGAATGAGTATGGTTTTTGAATCACATGTTGATATTCGAACAGATATAGGTGCTACAACCATTGATTTTTCTCTATCAGGAATGATTGATTATGAGCGAGATGCTCTTTTTTATCTTTCAAAAAATAGTTCAATTGATTGGACAAAGTAAAAACAAAAAAAAAACGAAAATTCAATTTCTAAATTTTTATATTCATTTTTAATTTGTATTAAAATATTCTATAGATGGAATGCAACAGGTTTTTTGGACTTAAATAAAACCTGTAATGATGAAGATGTTATTACATTTAATGAAGAAAATTATCGACAATTATGTTCACCAATAATTGAAATTAGTCGAATTGATAATGTTCGTTTTACACTTTCAACAGGTAAAATTTGAATAAAAAAAAAATATATATTTTTTTTCATTTGTTTTTTATTCTAATTTTCTTTTCAAGAACCATGTATGAAACGCAATAAATATACTTCAACATCAGCTGCAGTTATATTTCTTTCTATCTTTTATAATGTTTCAACTGCTACTTATTCAAGAACAATACGTCGAATATCATTACGTGACATACCAGTTAGTTTATCACACTAAAAATTCAAATAAGTTTATATGTATATATATTTATTTATTTAGCAAACTCATAAAACTTTTCATGTTCGATTTGATGAATTACGTCATAGTACAACATCATTTGGTCGTATTTGTTTATCACAATATCCTCAATCATCAGGAAAAAATGTTGATGTATGGAGTATAAAAGATTTTGTTGCTTTACCTTTATTACAATCGAATATTACACATTATATTCAATTGGGTTTAAATACAAAATGTAATTTACAAGAACAATTAACAAATGGATTAGGAGGAATATCAAATCAAAAGTAAAAAGAATTATTCATAGAAGTTTTAGATCTTAGATTTATTTTGTTTTCTTTTTTATTAGTATTAATATTGAATATTCAATTGATCTTGGAAAAACTTGGCATTTTTTATTACAACCATGTTTTCGTGGTTCAACTTGTTCACATGATGCACGACATGTTTATTCTTCTAGTATTATATTACCAACATCGTGAGAGTTTAATAAGGAAAATTATTTTGAAATTTTGATTTTATTGTTGATTTCTTTTTCGTGTATAGTGGATGGCATCGTATAACATTACCATTACCAATAGCAACATTACAACAAGAGTATATACGTTTTCGTATAAATACTCCATCGTTTACTATGTCAGCTTATTCTACAAGTAATTCTTGGGCTATTGATAAAGGTAATTGATAAATATTTATTAGAAACTAGTTGAAATTGTTTTTAATAGTCTTCATTGGACGATGTCCTCGAGCATGTAGTGGACGCGGTTGGTGTCAATTAAATTCATGCAGGTATAGTGAATTTTGTGCTACTTATCTTTTAAACATAGAAACAAAAATTAATGAGAATGGATAGTAAAACATCAAAAGATTCTCTTCCACTTGTTTAGAATTTATATTCTATAGTTTTATTTATCTTTCTATATCAAAGACTATTTCTATTATTTGTAACATACAATATATTAAATCATGATCCAATTATCGATATGATATTTCATATAAATACGATTCTCAAATCATTTTTTGTATTTCATCAGGTTGTTAACATAAACATTTCTATTATTTTTCTTAAGATGTGATACTGGGTTTTCTGGTGAATTTTGTGAAACAAGCAATACAACATTATTTGATCGACGATCATTTCTAATGGATAATAATGATAATCAAACAGATTTACTGACTTATCAAGGTATATCAGATGTTACTCATAATTAATTATTGTATTTCTTTTTTAATTTTTCAGGTGGTCAACTTAGTTATAAATGCGATATAATTTCACAAGGAAAAGCATTAGTATTTTCAAAATCTGGCTTTCGATACTTACGAATATCAAATATAAATGGTAGTTCACCAAAGTAAATATTTCGTTTTATGAAATAAAATATGCCTTATTAATTTTTTTGTTTTGTTTTATAGATTACTTGAATTTACACTTCGTCTTGGTAATACAAATGCACAATGTTTTGGAACAAGTAAAAATGATCTTGATCGAGATTTAAAATCAATTTTATTATTATCATCATGTTCAAATGGTGTTCATTGGACTATAATTGATCATTTTCGTATATCAGATATTCTTGCTCGAGACTTTCGGTTTAGTTTATTATTTATTTTATTTTAATTGATTGATTTTTGTTGTTTTTTTAAAATTTTTATAGAACAATGAGTCGAATTTTATTTGAAGAAAAAGTTGAAAATGAAAATTGTCTTATTGAATGGAGACAAATGACACATGGTGGAAATAATCAAGATGTTTGGGCTATTGATGATATTACAATTCGTGATGTTATATCAAAAAAATTAATTAAAAAAAGTCTACATGTTAAGTATGTTATAATATTAGAAGTTTTCTTTTTCTTTTTTCAGAAAATATGTCTTTGTTTTTTTTTTACAATAGAAATTTTCAAACAAAATTAACATATATTCGACCAGGATATATTTTTAGTTTTCGATTAGAACTTATACAACGAAAAGAATCAAAAATATTATTTGATTTCGATGATGTAAACTTCTTATTTGTTGTTTTTGATTTGTTAATTTCATTTTTAATGAATTTTTTAGATTTATCTACAAATAAATTCAAGTCGAATTGATCTTTCAAATTATATAGATATTGTTTCTTATCAATCAGAAAATTCAACATTAACATTAATTATTACACTTCCACAATCAATATGGTATAAAAATGTTATATTAAATTTAACAATTATAGCTACAAAAAAATATACTTTAAATTTAATTCATCTTGGTGTTCAATGTGAAAATAATTGTTGGTTTAATGGAATGTGTTTAGAAGGAATGTGTTTGTAAGATAGAAAATTTTTATTAAAATTTTTCGTTAAAGTTTGTTTCTTAAGATATGAACAACCAAAATTTTTCAATCAATTAATAAATTTATCTTTACATGAAAATGATTTAATGAAATATAAAATAAATGTAGTAAGTCAAACTATATTAAGAATTACTATTGAAATATTTGCATTAAATGATTTAATATAAATTATAATAACAAATAGATAAAAATATATGGTTTATATTTCCGATGAAATATGTTTAGTACAGTTTTGAACAAGGATAATAGAATATTTTTTTGAATGAGAGTGAAGTTCAATGAAAGTTTATTTGTTCTCATAAGTGAACGTTTTATTTAGAATTTTCACTTAGAATTTTTTAGTATCTCTTAGCCCTGAGATATTTAATATTCGAAATTTTTTCATGTATAAAAAGATATTTTGTTTATATACTTACATTTCCAACAACGAAATACTAAAGAAATTAAAACTTGCAATATGCACTAATCTAAGTAAGGATTTTGTTAATGCAAAGTTTGAAGTGAAAAAACCAATTTTACACGTGATGTTTTGAAATATTCAGAAAAATTTCGATATCTCAAAAACGAAGATTCGAAAAACCAAACCCTTCTAGACTGTTCTGTTACTCATCAAAGGAACACCATCTCGGTCGAAAAATGCGTTTTAATACCTAGAGAGGTTTTCTTGCAAGCAAAGATCAAACAATAAAACGTTTCAGAGTATTTAGGTCTGTAAGTGATGATGTATAGGATCGTTGCAATAACATTTATTGATTATAATCTAAAATATAGACAGTGACACTATACTAGAAAGAAAGTAGTTTTTTTTAACGATCATATATTCTTTAGTATACAATCATATTTATAACATGAAGAATGTTATCATAATCATCTAAAATTTAAATAAATTCATGATGTTGAAGAAAATCTATGAAATATGAGAGCTAGAAATTCATATAAACAGACAAAAAAATTTTGCTCAAACTATATTTAAATATAATGATTTCTGAAGTTCTGATTATTTCGTATTAAAAAATAAGCAGAGAATAAGAAACCATCATCTTCGTTTATGACCATTGTTACAAATCATTTTTAAGTTTACAAACTTAATCTATCCACGCCTAAATTAAGATAAAGGTTTGTGATTCGTTGCAAATTCATAAACCCTGATGGGAAGAGTTTATGATTTTACGCTTAATTTTTACAGTATTCGAGCTATGTTTTCACTCGATAAAATGAAATGATTAATAATATCACGAAAGGGATGACGGATGCACAAATAGCTCTCTCTTTTGAGCACATATTTTTACAATTGTTATAATTTACATACTACTCTATGTGATTAAAATAAAATAGATCGTTGAGCATTATGTTGAGATGAATCATGAGTTTTACTTTTCTTCATTATCATATATAGGTAAATATGTAAAAGTTTTAATCTCTAGCATTAAACAAAGTTTGTCTAGCCAAAAAACATTAAGCTCGAATTTGATTAAGTCTTGAAGCTGTCATTCAGGTTTAAAATATCAGCTGAAAAACTTCAAATATCGATCTATTTCTTTTTATTAACTAATAATGATCTGTTCAGATTAATGATGAATTACTTCTACCATTTATTGATTCAACGGATCTATCAGCTATACATTTTCAAACAATAGCACGTACAATAATTAAAAATAATCTTCTATTTGAATGTTCACCAAATGGTGGTGTTAAATGGTTTGAACTTGGAGTATGGACAGGAGAAAAAGATAATTCATTAAAGTAAAAAAAAAGAAAACAGAATCATTTAAAACACAAAATCTTTATTTTTTTATTTATAGAGATCATTATGTATCATTGTCTTCTTCTTGTCAAGCAAAACATACATTATTTCGATGGAAAAATTCATCTATTCAATTATTAAATGTAGCATTTGTCAAATCATATATTCAACATTATTTTATGGATGAATTCAAAGTAATTAAAATCTATTTTATTTAGAAAATGTTGATTATTTTTTGTTTATAGAAAATTGATTCATCTAAATGGCTTTATCCAACATACTCAATCAATTCATCAGGATTGTATACAAATAAAATTAATCATATTTCAAATAATAAAACAATATTTCAATTAATTTCAACAGCGATTACTCTCAAACAACATAATTATGTTATTATGATCGATGTATGTTTAATTAATTAATATAGCTTGAGAAAGTGGATAGTTTTTTTTTGCTTTTAATTGTGTTTTAGACTGATTCAAATATGAATAATACACGTTTACAAGTTGATTATTCACTTGATAATATTACTTGGCACGAATTGATTGATACAAAGAATTTTGAACGACAAATAAATCGTTTTGGACGACAGATTCCATTGAATATTCTTCGACGGTTCGTAAAAACTATGATGAATCTATAAAAGCATATAATTCTTAAAATTATCCAATCAAAACGTTTCAGACACTCATAGGATTGTAAAATTAATAACTAACACTTTAGAACTCGACCTTACTACGAATATTTACTCATATTAGACAAAGTTCCCATCCTTATCAAGTGCAGTGTCAACATGTTGATCACACCAATTACGATAGGACCTAGGTCTGAACTGGACAAACCAAATCATCCTGCAGTGCTATGTGTTTTAAAGTGTCAAAGATAGAACATATAAGATGACATAAGAGCGAACTAATGAACTATTGATTAAAAGTTTTAAACTGATGTATTGAAAGAAAATTGAATAATACATTTTGGATATTCTTATAAGAATAGAGAATAAGTGAAAAAAAACGACGGTAATGTTTAGAAGTTTAATTTAAAAACACATGTTTACTCAAGTAATATTTCGATTTAGAAGGTAACATATTGTAAACTGAGATTCGATTCATTAATAATTTTGCACATCGTTAATAATTAATTTCTCTGTTTAATATTTTGTAGTAAAATTTGTGATACTTTCTTTTTGAAAATTGAATTATGAATCTTTAAAAATCAAGGAATGTCTTATATTCTAGTTGATATGATTGATAATAGAATTCTTCTAGAAACATAGAATACTTAAGTATAACCTTCAGTTCCGGTTGGATAAAAGTTCTCCGATGATTCTGCATATCTCTCAGTGTAGTCATTGTATTGACACTTTTCTTTCATGATTTGATCACTTCATAATGAACGTATCAACGTATATTCTAGTTCAATATTAATACGAATTCAAAGTGATCGTTTATTTACTTTAAATCATATTTATATTGGTCCATCATGTCCAGCTAATTGTTATGGACATGGAAAATGTCTTTGGAAAACTGAACAAGCTATTTGTCAATGTGATAATAATCAAACATCAGGTATATTTTTCTATTATTCTAAATAAATAAATAAATAAATAAATACTTATATTAAATATAGAAACAAATTGTTTACAAAAGAATTTACTTTTATCAAGTTTATATGAAACATTTGAAAATAAATTAAATTCATCTATATGGTCAATATCATCTCATGTTCAACTAACACATCGATGCTATAATCGACAAAGTAAAACAACACCATACTTATGTTTTTTACCTAATAATTATACTCATCAAAATTATGCTATAATTGGTCCATTTAAAGCACTTAAGTATATATATATTCTTTCTTATGTAATATATTTGATAAAAAAAAAAAAAACAATTTTTTTTTCTTTAATAAGATATGTTCTATTTAAATTTGGTTTACAATATGTTAGTTTAACAAATTGTTCGAATCAAATACTATTTCAATATTCATATGATAATGGTATACAATGGTATACAAAGAAAATTTTAGATGAAACAAATAATATATTTGAACGATTTGATGATTTATTAATAAATATGAATATTTATTTACGATGGATTGAAGAGAATGGTAATAGAAATTTTTATCTGTTTTTTTTTCTTTGTGTTTCTAATTTTTTTTTTTTTATATTCGTAAATAACAAAAAAAAAGATCAATCATGTTTAATGTGGAATCTACGTTCGATTAGTATTCGAACAAAAAATGATGAAAATCTATGGTTTGAAAATAATTTACATATAGAACAAAAAAATGAAATTAATTATGATGCTCAAACATGGGAATTTCCATTAATTCAATCAAGTTCAATAATTCAATTTGATTTACAAATGTTTCCATTAAAAAAAACAAATAATACAAATTGGTATTTAATACTTGAAATAAGTTCAAATATTATTCATGGATGGTCACATTGGATATCATTAATACCTTCGTGTAATCAAACAAATTTATATTGTGAAGATAAAATTGCTTCGACTGGATCTTTATTTCTTGCTCAATTATATCAACAACAACGGAATGTTACGATTCCTATACCAGATAGTTATGTGTAAGTAATAATCATAAAAACAAAAACACAAAAAAAAAAAAGAAATCGATCTGTTTCTATAAATTAGTAATCAAGAAGTTCGTTTTCGATGGACAACAAGTCAATCTAATGCACGTTTTATGATTAATAAAGTTTATGTTGGAGCTGATTGTCCTTGGTTTTGTTCTGGTCATGGTTTATGTCAATCAAATGGATGTCAGTAAGTAGAATAATTATATAAACATCAGAATATATCATTTAAATTTAAACACACATATATATGTCTTTTTTTGTACAGATGTAATCATGGTTATGTTCTACCATTTTGTTCACCTGATCCTTTGACAGTTTTACAAGGTGAAATATTACCAATGCAACTTAATGCGAATTTATCTAGTTGGTCAGAAGTATGGGGATATGAAAAATGTTCATTGGATGACGAACGATATGTTTTTTCAAAAGTATAAATTTCGAAATGATTTCTTTTCTTTGTTCTTAGTAAGTTGTTTTTATATTAGGCAGATACTCGTGGTTTAATCAGTCGAGAATTTTCTCTAGTCGGTATAAAATTTATTCGTATTGAATTGGATACATGTTTCAATCGAACTGAGGCATTTATTGATCCAATACATGTTCAAATTTCATCAAATAATGGTATTTTATGGAAAACTTTAATGACTATAAAATATCGTCAAGAATCTCCACATAAACCTTGGCTTATTGAATTACCAAAAGACGAAGCAATAAAACTTTATTTAGTTCGTATACGATTATTTCAACGAGTAACAACAAGTATGTCAATTATAAAATAGGATTTTCTTTTTTTTAATAGGTTAATGTTTTTTTTTCTAAATTCAACTATAGAATGGACATCAATTTGGATACTTAATAAATTTGAAATGATACCACAAAAATTATCTAATCAATTTGTTAATAATGGTTCTTCAGTAACAAATCTTTGCAACTATAAGTATGATACGAAAAAAACATGTTAGCGCAATCCTTGCAGGATTAGAATGTAAAACACAATGTAGCGACTATGTTTAGTTGGAGAGAGATTGTTTTATACTATCTATTTTGAGACATATTCTGTTATCGTTCTTTTAGTTCCTAAACGTTATCAATATATGGGTCCTTTAGATCCAAAATTTATCGGATCCAGATCCGGTCGCATCGTACTTCGATACTCTCGATGAAATTTTCTATTTTCAAACCGGATAGCCGTTCCGAACATAGGAGATATTTTTGCCGGTTTTTTTAATTCGATACCTACCCGAAGAGTTCTAGAGGAGAACCAAATTTTCCCGTTATACTTCAAAAAATTTTAAGTTATCTTATTGATTAATAATTTTAGAAATCATATATTTCCTCTTGAACTCTATTCAACAATCGATATTGAATTAAATGAAACATCATTTTTAACATTTCAAGTAATATATTGATTCAAATCTTCATTATAATTAAACTAGTTTTTTTTTTCATTACTATTTAGTTAGATTCTAATCGTTGTATGAGTGGCTCTTCAGTAACACCAAGTCATTTACAATTTGATCTTGAATTTTCGATTGATTATGGTCAAACTTGGTCATTCATTGATCTACCAGCAACAATTGCTTCTAGTACTAACGATATAATCATCACTCAACCACTTCGTGCAATTAAAAATATGTTCTTTTTACCATTATATGCTTACCGGTCATTATCAAAGTAAATAAATGTTATAATCAAAATTGAAATTCAGTCAATCTGATGATGCAAAGTTTGAGCTGACTGACCACTGATGTTACGGATTCAATATAATCTAGTGCTTTCTAGTGAACCCTATATCGGTGATTCACTGTTGAGTAGTTATCCTAAAGCCATAAATATCTCATTAAAATTCTGAACTTCTCACAACAAAAATGGAATTTGATATTTGACCAGATAGTTCTTAAACAAAATTCGAATTTGAGATTTTGGCGGATGGTATCAGATTTAAACTAGAAGTAATTGTCAAAGTCGAAGGTAGTTAGACTCGGATAAAATAAACAAGTTTTTCTTATATATTTGATAAAGCATTATTTATATCTTTTACATGTTTTGTGAAACATTTTGTCTCGAACTGTCATTGACTGATGAAGATACTTCTAGGTTTAAATTAAATTAAAATTCTAATTTACATATAAGATATTACAAGAAAAAAAACAGCATACAATAAAATCTTATTCTTTAGATTTATTCGTATACGTTGGTTAGCTGCAAATTCAACAATTGCAACTCGTTGGCAAATAACAAATATTACTATTCGACCTGAATGTGAAGTTTTATGTGAATTAGATTCATGTAATGGCAAATGTCGTTGTTCAGAAAGGAATAATTGTTTATTATCATCAAGAAAGGCAACTTATTTTGAACGATTTAATAATAGTTTATCTGATCTTATTGTATTACCATCATTAAATCTTATTTCAACTAGGTAAATAAAAACAAAAATTAGACTAAAAGACAAACATTTGAATAAAATCTAGATTTATCGAATTTACTATTCATATGAATTGTCAACAAAATATTCAAATAATATCATTAGAATATTCTCGTAATATGGGTTTAAGCTGGCAACTTTTTAAATATATAGTTTTAAGTGTAAATCAATCTTATATTATACATGAAGATTTATTAGATGAAATGAGATATGATTATGTTCATATTCGATTTATTTTTCTATCGAATATTTCAAACTGTTTAAAATTAGAACAAGTATGAAATAAAGATTCTTTGAATTATATATAGTTGTTTTTTTACTTGTTGTTGTATCGGATAGATTATTGTCAGTGGTTCGATTATTCTTCAAGAAATGATCTATGGAAAGTTTGATCAATTGAAAAATTTTAATCCGAGGTTATTTGTTTCGTTTGGTGATGGAATATTTAATGGAACGTATTTAATATTTCCCACGATAAGTAATAGTAATATATATGACAAAAAAATAACTATAGAACTTGTGCTGACTTTTAGATAAATCAAATTTAACTATTAATGAAATTATTACTGATGATTTGAATATTTTCGAGAATTCATTTTATATTCAATTAGCAATCGTTCCTCTTTCGTTGAATCGTTGTATAAGTATGATAATACGTTTAAAATTGAAATTAATATTCTATATTTAACAAAATTGTTTTTATTGAATAATTAGATATTCTATTTTCGTTTTCATCTGATTATGGATATACTTGGCAATCGATTGATTATAATGAGATATTACTTTTTGATGAAGGTCACACTCGACGAGTGAAAATTTTTACTTGGGAATTAACATCAATGATGATCGGGTAAGACCATGATAGATGTAGTTAATCATTACTTAGCATAAACGAGTTGTGAATGGATACGAACTTGGATTATTTCGTCGTAGGATGTCAACTAACATTTGCTATTTCGATCTTACGAATAAATATGGACAAGATCGAGCCAGCAAAAACTTTTTTACTCGGAACGATACTTCTCATGATCCCGTAAACTTATGTCGAATGTCGAGCTCATTGGGTTCGAAATATTTGGACCTGGACTAATCCGACGAACTCTAGTGTTCTAAATAGATATGGGCAAGGTGGTTCTGAAACCAAGATCAAAACGATTGGATCGACTAATCTCTAGTTATGAGAGAATCATTTCCATTGATTTTTTTAATGTAAACTACCGGACTATTGTATTATCGATCATATTGATTCTGAATTTATAAATGAGAAATTTTCTTTGATCATCATGTGCTGATTTTCCAAACTAAGAAAATTTTCATCAAGATTTTTTTTTCTTTGATCTATCTAAATTATAGAGCATGCTGAATCGAATAGAAAAGAGTAACTTTTTGTACTTTTAGCTGTTTCTTTTTTTCTGAAAAAATACAGCCATTTTGATTCATATAACAGATCTATATTAACAAAAAAGATGTGTAAATCTTCAAGATGATATTATTTTATTTAAACTTTATTTTTGAAAAAGTGAAAAGATTATTGTTTCATAAGCAATTCGATATATTCCAGAATCTGGTCAGATCTAATACGGTTTCGACAAAATACATCTTAGTTTGGATAGCCAGAATACAAAAACCTAAGAAGATTCCTCATATTCATAATCGTAATCAGCATGATTGCTAATCTAAAATCTAGTAGTTATTGTTAAGAAAGCAATTGGTCAGTTGAAATCGTTCCTTCTTGACTTATAATTGAAATTTTACATCAAAGTAGCCTGTAGTTAAAAACCTGTATTAATTGCAGAGAAGGATATTAGCCTAGTACTCTTGTTTTCTTCTCAAAACAAATTTTATTCATCAAATTTGATAGTATTTATTGATTGTTAATCGTTATAGACAATCCCAACTATCTCAATATACCTGCGAAAGTTAACAGTATCGAAACTAAGGATCTTGTGGAATAACCATATTGTGAAAAAAAACCTGATTTTTGTTCTAATAGATCAAATCAAGTTCGTTTTCGTATTGATTTTAACGATGAACAGATATCATCCAATGAAGAACAGTTTTTCATCGGCATATCAGAATTGTATATTGGTTCAAATTGTATCAATGCTTGTAATGGTCATGGAATGTGCTCTAGCAATGGACGATGCAAGTAAGTATTTCTATGAATTCAGCGACAAAATATTTTACTTTGATTATACTTAGATGTGATTCAAATTGGACAAATACTGATTGTAGTCGATCATTAATTCGTTTTCCAAATGAATTGAATATTCTTAAACATGTTTATTATACAAGTTATGGTACTACATACAATTCAACATGTGGTACAATTTTTAATAATGTAAGAATTCTATGAAAAATTGTTGATTGTAACATTTTCTTTAATTAGACATGTAAACGAGAATTCGAAACAAATTATATGGATATAAATCATGAACATACATATGTTCATATTGAACTTGACGATCGATGTATGTCAAAAACATATATTCGAAAAAATGGTGATGGTTGGATACGTCTTCAATATCGTCAAATAAATTTACATCAATGGAATACATTACATATCTTCAAGGATCATCAATTAAAGTAAGTCATAAATATGTCGTTTCGCAGTTACAGTGTTTAGTGAAGTGTGAATTTTGTTAGTGAAAAAAGTTTTAACGACAACAGATTTGTTTATTTTGTTTTTCCATTATCTTAAGCTCTTAACTTAAATCTGAATAGTGATTTTAATAATCAATGGAGTTTTCTAATCGAATGCATTTTATTCTGAAACTTACAAGGTTTCTAAACAACCGAACACATAGTTTTCAGATTCAGAAAGCTATTTTATAACAATGCCTTCTTACAGAGCAGAAAATTCTGAGTAAAACGGGAGATCATCATGTTTTCTTGGAGTTTAGCTTAAAAAGTTAAGTTTCTTGGATCTTAAATGAAAATAAATCAGGTTACTATTAAGAGCATATGCTAATTAAGGCTAAAAAATTAATTAAAGATGTAGATATATATAAGTGAACGTTATCAAAATAAACATATCATTGATCTATTTGTAACTTTAATAATATCATGAATTTTCATTCATCACTAATATTCTCCAACGAAGTTATACTGAGATCTTAAGCGAGCCAGATTTAGTCCTAGGGAAAATATGAGAATAATCGATTCATAAATTATTTATGGGTTAATGTTTTATAAAAACTTCAATGTGTCATGTACAGACTATTTCAAAAGTTCGATTAAGAAGAAACATGAAAAGCTCTTCGGCACGTTAAAAGATCTACATTTTTTTTTCTTATCGCGTAATCTTATTTCACTTGAGAAAAAAACGATTAATCAAATTAATGAGAGTTTTGTGAAAATAAGTCAAGATCACATGTTTCAATTGATGTAACTCATCTTTGTAGAACTTTGAAACAAAATGTGCCTTGTATGTTGAATCACATGATAAGCTGTAGACGAATAATTGTTTATTTTATTTATTTTTTTTTGAATAAGTATTATAAAATTATTACCTCAATATATTCTTCAACTTCGACTTATTCAAAATTCTCCAATTATTGGTCGACCGCCATGGTCAATTGAACAATTTCATATATTTCATATTCATTCTCATTTACAATGGTTTTCATTAGAAGATAAAAATTATACGAAATGGAATTCAACATTTCTTAAAATTTTAAATACAACTAATCAAATTATTTATGAAACTAAAGATGTTTATTTTAATTCAGATTATATTCTTCAAATTGAATTTAATTCTATCGATTATATAAACAATATTCTTGAATATTCAATTAATTTTGGTTTAACATGGTTTGAAATATCGAATGAAAATGAATTAGAAATTATACCAATTAAATTTAATCATGAAAATATCACATTCTATCGTTTAACAGTTCCATTTTATTTTTTTTCAATACAAAATAATTCTATTCGGTTTCGATTTAAATTTTCATCAAATTGTACAACAAATAATCTTCAATATATTTATATAGGAAATAAATGTTTAATGAATTGTTATGGTAATACACGATGTATTAATGGAGAATGTCAAGTGATGAATGCCATCACTCCTCTAGTATGTCAAATAGAGATTTTTAATACAGTAAAATCTCTCTATATGAGCACCTCCTTATAGTGGATAACCTATAGTCTGTACAAGTGAATTTTCCTAGAAATGAGCCTCTCAAATATGCAATGTTTTATTCAGTGTGCAAGCCGATGATGTGACGCTTCTCCGAATTTTGTGGGAAGTTAGTATTTTGAAATTCATGTTATGATAACGTTAAGTCACTTCGAAACTGAAAAAAAAGCATCATATCTGGAATCAGCGTGATGGATTGTTCTTATCTTGATCTCTTTCGAAGTACTCTATGATCATTAGACTGAAATTGAAATCTCTGGAAAATATCACTGCTGTTTAACAGAATAACTTAGAGACGTCGGCTTTGCGTGGATCTCAAGAGACAGATTTTTTCTAGAGAATAGTCGCAGCGTAATCTGAAAATATTATGGCATGGTTTTCTAGAAAAAGTTTTTCAAATTTCCTCTAGAAGCTTATCTGATTAGTCAATCGCTGAGTTGATCAAAGTTGAGATGAATTCATGAATCTCCGATGTCGTCATTTGAGTAGTGGAATACTCATGTCTCGATTTTGTTTCTATCGAAAGTAATTCAAAATACATTGACTAATCGTATAGTTTATGATTGATAATAGTAGCATCAAAACATATCAATGCATGTTGTTCTACCTCTAAATGAAAAAAAAAAGTTCAATAAACAGAAAAGGGATTAGAACGTTTTTGTCGATTCCGCAATAGTGCTCACATTAGAGAAGTTTTACTGCAGATAAAAAAAAAAACAATTTTTCGTTTCATAGGTTGATTTTCGAGAAACATTTGAAAAAGACTTTAATCCTACGAATTGGTTACAATTAGAACTTTATCGACATGAAATAAATAGAATTCTATGGACAACAACAAATCGACAGGCTATTACTCGACCAATTGATTTAAGACCAATGCGGTAAATAAGAGTCAATTTATTATTTAAACTTCTTTTATTTATTTATTTTTAGTGCTATTAAATGGACATATAATTTAGAAAATATTTCAAAAACATGTAATGCTTCAATTTATTTATTAATATCAACAGATGGTACATTAACATGGTCGATTCTTCATCGATTTGATATACCAATTAAAAATATAACAACATTAAATACATCTATTGAATTATTTGTTGAACTTAAGATTCTTAATACAAAATATCATGTAGGACAATTTCGATGGTTTCAACCATTATCTTCTAAATGTAATAATTTTACATGGGGACTTTCAAAAATAATATCAAGTAAATTTTAAAAATATCACTAATTTCTTTTGATTTATATTTTTGTTTTGTTTTTTGAATATTTATTTAAGTAAAATCAATTAATATTGATTTTATAACTGATTATTTTTATGCAATATCATCAGCACGTTCAAATTGGGAATCCATTGATGGTGCTTTATTTGCTCAACCTGATCAATGCAATAATAATATACCTGCTTTAATATTTCATGAAACTTCATTCTCAGTTATTACTGTACCTATTCTCATACAACAATTTCATGTTCTTGTTCTTCAGGTAAGTGTTCTTTTTTAATTCATAAACTATTGCTTGACTCAAAATAAAAGACAAGCTACAATTTTTTGAATAACTTGTGATAAGAACAAGATAAAAACCTCTGGTTTTAACCATTCAACGGAGCAAATTCAGAGCCATCAACGTATATTGAAATGTGATTAGTCAGAAATGGATTAATGAGGTGTGTTCTTGATCAAGATTCGGAAGCTATTTCCATTTCAATTTAGAATTTTAATAGGGCTAATCTATTAGAAAAGTCTTTTGCTTCAATCTGCATAGGGTCAATATTCCTAGCATGTTCTGTTCGAGACTTTTTCGAAGACTTCCGAATTCAATCAATGAAACTGTGACCACCTGAAAAGGCAGTTAGACAAAGACAATTCACCATTCGACTTAACATGGTGAATTACTCTTTCCTAGCTACTACTCCAAGTGATCACTAGTCAGTAGACTGCTTGTTCCTATCACAAACTCTTCAAAAAGAAAATGTCAACTCACCTTTTATCTTGAATCGGACAATATTCAAAAAATAAAGATTTTTTTGAATAGTTTAATACAAAATGTGATCAAAATGTGAATATGAAAACATTACAATGTCGTAATTTAACAACTATAATTGAATATCGAACTGATTTATCATTAAAATGGACAAAACTTATTAATATGGAGGATTTAGCATGTCGAACAAGTTTAATTAATGGAGGCTATTTTAATATGCATACTATCAAACTACCATTTGAAACATATTCAAGGTATGATGGTTAAGTGCAAACATTTTCTTAATGAATTTCTTTATTTTGAATGCAAATATTGCAGAAAATAACAAAGTTTGTGAAATTGTACACACCATATAGAGCATCGGTCATGAATGGAATCACTACAAAATATATGCTCAAAATCCAGGAGAAAATATTTTCTTTATTAATAATAAACTCTAAGTACAAGTACTGACTCGAGTTTTAGCGACCTTAATGCATTGGACTCATTTTCTTTGCAATTAATTAAAAAAACTTCGTTGATATTTTTCTGGTTCGCCATTATTTTGAATCGTTAACATCCTTTGTTTTATTAGTAAATAAAACTACACATGTCTTTACTCAGTCATAGATAGAAGACTCTAATCTACTGAGATATTTCCCTGATTAGAGGCGATCTGCATTCCACCAATCGCTATGATATTTTTATGGAATACTTGCTTAGAGAAGAGAGACCCTTTGAAAATATTTCAAGGCAAACGAATGAAAATAGTTGGCATAAAAGGTTAGTTTTTGACAAATCCTACTAGCTTTCATAGTAGAAATACTCAAAGATAACTTCGAAAATCGGCAAACAACATGAAGCTTTCATCGTCTGAATCAAAAAAATCTATATTACTCTTCTAGCTCTTTCCCATGAAAGTCGATCAACCCTCATCACGCTTTTTCGGTGACCTAAATTTGAGATCGAAGAATTTTCGTTTAGATACTTTTACCTGACAGCGGAATTTATGACGACTAATATATTTTACCTATGAGATATGATAAGGATGTATTGTAATCAAGTAGATGTATATTCATTGTTTTAATCTTAGACTTTATATATACATATATCCTTTTAACTATATGAATGATTTGAACATTTATGCCATATTTTATCTATTAGAATTTATATCTATAGCATCAGAAATGAAATTTTCTTGGTTTTAAAAGTGATTAATAGTAGAATAACTTGATCATTAGGAAAAAATACAGATATGGTTTAGTTCTCACATTTAGTTGTTTCGAAATCATCCAACACTCAGCAGGTTCTACCAATAGAGAGCTTAGTGATAGCGAATGAAAGTAACACCTCTTTTCGGAAGCATAGAAACGTGGCATAGTAACCACAAGCTTCGATAGGATTAACTTTCTCTTTTTCAGGATCGTACTTCCATGATATATTAAACTCTGCACTTGAGTTTGATAAATTTTACAGTATCTACTGTTGAGCAATAACTGACATTTTCATTTTTGTAGACTTAATATTGCATCGGCTTACAACTTGAATGCTGATTTGTAAATGATACTTTCTATTGAAATGAAAAATTGAGTTCAAACAACATTTAGAAATTGTTTTTTGAATCTTTAGAATCTAAAGATTGTCGTCAAGTTTTATTTTATTTTTTTCATCATTGATAAAAAGAAGGAGACGCACAACAATTAAGCTTATAATAAGCCTCTTCGCAACAAAGAAAAATCTAGTTCAATTAGCCTTCTGCAAGAAAAGAAAACTTTTTTTTGGCTTTTTTGTTAAATTTACAAATTAAAACAAATAGTTTTTATTTGAGCCAAGCATCATCCTGTAGAGTCGTTTGACTGCCACCACGTTGCATACGTTGTTTTTGTTGAAAACGTTCAAGTACTTCATTACTATCTAATAAAGATGCATCATCATTTTCAAGATCACGTAATTTTTTTAATCGTGCTTCATTCTGTTCAGCAATTCTCTAAACAAAGAAAAAAAACGAATTCTTTTTTTTTATTTAATCATTTATTATAAAATTTTTATTTTTACTTACATTTAATTCAAAATTTGCTATTGTTGTCGGATCATCTTGATCATAAAAACCTGTTGGATCATGACCATATCGTCTTCGACTAGCTTCTTTTTCAATATTTGTAGGAAATATTCGATTAGCTGAATCAATACGTTTTGATGATGAATAATAATCATTATCATTTTGTCCAAGATTTTCATTACCACCACCCATTAAAATAGCATCATCACGAAAATAACCTGGTTTAAATTCCATATCATCATCTGTTTGTATTATACGACGTGTTCTATCATTTGCTGTTGGTGAATCACGATGATGAACACGTGCTGCATTAAATAAAAATTGTGGACTTGGTTTACGTTGTGTTGGTGGTTGATAAGCTGTTTTTGAATATTCATTTTTATTAGATGATGAATTTGCTTGAGTTTGATGATGATTAACATGTTCTTGTAGACGTGCTTCTTTATCTTTTAATTGTCGTTTTAAATGTTCGAGACGATTAAGAACTTCAGAATCAGAACCATCTGATCGAAGAGATGTTGTAGAATTGGTACGCATTGGCATACCAGAATTTGAATCTGCACGTGGACGGGATCGAAAAGTTTCTTAAAATTTAATAATCAATTAGAATTGATTTATTCGTTATATTAACTTACGTGGTGGTTTTTTGCGTGCTGATGATACATCTATAGAAGTAAAAAATATTGAATATTGAGAATTATCAAGAAAGTTGTTAAAAATCATCTTATAAATGTTTATGAGGTTTGTGCTTCGACAAAATCAAAGAATTTTTCGTACAATATATTAATAGATGAAGCATCAATAGCTAAAAAAACAATGAGCTATTTTAATTCTTATATATCATATTTTTACTGAAGTTTTGTAGTCTAACATAACTAAGAAAAGTCACAATCTATGAGTATGACATTCGGATTCAACATCAAAAACTACATAGAATCAAATAGATTTTAGAGAAAGTTTTGTGAAAAAGTAATTATGATCTCCTACATTTGTATTTTATTACAAATTTGCTCCGTAGGCGCTTCCAAAGGTTATTTTTTCGTATGAAAAAAAGTTTCTCTAAAATGTATTTAAGCTTAATGTAGTCTTTGATGCAAATTCTGCATGCTACATTTCTTTTGCTATACAATCGCGTCGTGACAATGAGAACCGATAAGAATGTTTTTTCTGTGTTTTTGAAAAACCACTATGTAAGGGGGAGATGTGAATCCCACTTCATCGGAAGGAACACTTTTTTCTAATAGGTTTTAACCATTTTGTAAACAATAATTTTGTTTTAAAAAAAATGGTAACAGATATACTGTCAAACATCGATCATTATGAAATCGACAACTGTGACTTTTCTCACTCACGTTATACTACAAAACTTCAGTAGATATAGGATATGTACAAATTCAAATAGCTCATGTGTATCAGTTATTAATGAGCTATTTTTTTTAGTATATTCGACGAAAAATTCTCTGATTTGTTAAACCATAATCATAATAAATATTTATGAGACAATTTTTGACTACTTTCTCAATAATACTCAAAAGCAAGTATTCACTAATCTTCTCATAGTAAATGTAAATGAGTGAAAAATTTTGGTTTAGTGGTTGTCAGATGATAACCTTCTGAACGCATATTCAAAATAAAAAAGTTTAGATTTTGATCAATGTTTCAATGCTCTAATGAGTATTCTTTTAACAAACCTGGTTGTCGAGGTGTTGGTGGTTTTCGATATGTTTGTCGACTTTGTTCATCTGTATCATCGATAGGTGGTTCTTGAATAAATTCATCATTATTATTGAACGGTGGTAATGGTGGTGGTGATTGTTGTTGAACAATCTCATCATATGATTGTTGACGTCGTACATTTTTTACAGTTGACTTTTGTTTTTTATCTTTATTTTTTAATGTTGGTACTGGAGGTGATGAACTTCGATAGGCAGGTTCGGATTGTTGTTGTTGTTGTTGTTGTTGTTGTGTTTGTTGGTTACTGTAACTACCTCGTCTATTAGCATTAATATCATCATTATTATCATCATAATGAGTTTCATCTCTTTTTGGTGTCATTGGTTTTTCTTGTCGTTTTGGTTCTAGACAAAAAAAACGAACAAATATAATTAATTCTATGAAGTGTTGTCTTTGTTTTTGAAGAAAATTCTACTTCGTTTCATAACAATTTCTTCTTGTTTTTTTTGTCGTTCAAGATCTTCTTGTAATTGTTGTTGATGTTGACGTTCTTGTTGTTCTTTTTCTTGTTTTCTTAATGCTTCTTCAGCCGTTTGTCTTTCCATTTGTTGTTGCCATTCTAAATGTTTAGCAAGTTCACGTTCTTCTTCAGCTCGACGTTTAGCTACTTCATCGGCTTCTCGTTGACGTTTTTCTTCGATTTGTTTTTTTAATTCTTGTTTATATTTTTCTTCTCGTAATACTTGTGCTTCAGTTTTAGCTGTACCAAATATTCCATTACTCACTGCACCACGTGCATGATTTGGTGAACCAGGACGATCCTATTTAAAATCAATTAATCAAAAACAACTTTCGTAGGGCTAATTCTTATATATGACGTACATGCTAAGATATCCTAGAGACTGTCGTTCAAAAGAATTATCAATAAAAAACTAACATTAGCGACATGACACAAAAAAGGACATCGACTTTCACCTCATGTATTTTAGTTTAAAAAACTCCAGATTAAGCCTATGTATATAAATCTCTATGGAAAGCTTTTTCCGAAGCATATCTAGGTTTTTCAAGAAAATTAATTTACTTTTCTCAGAATCTCTAGATTATATCAAGGCAAAAAATTTTATATTGTTGAGGTAGTTTTTGCTGTAGAGTCTAACCTAAAAATGTTGAATATTTTTTTTTCTTATATGGTTACAGCGATATTCACAAATCACTATATGCTTTAAAATCAGCTGAAAGAGGCAACATTTTTAAACATATTCATGGTAAAGAAAATTTATTCACAAAAATAACCTTTGTAAAGCATCAAGGTCAAATGAAAGGTGGATATGTTACGTTTTGCTCTAAATATAGGAAGCTGCGAATCCACGTTTTTGTAGACTCAGCTGCGTAAGAGCCCACTGCTTGCTATGGAAATATCTCAAATATATTTAAAACTTTTATTTACCGAATCAGCTGAGTATTGTTGTTGTTCTCCATTATAAAATGGTGCATTTCCCATGGAGCTCATTCCATCACCTAATGAATAAACTTTATTATCAGGTGGTAAATACTGTTGTTGTTGCTGTTGTTGTTGATGTTGATAGGGTGGCTGAGGTGGTGGTGGATTTCTAACATCAGCTAAATTAGCAATAACATTTCCATCTTTATCACGCATTGGTGCTCCACCACCGCTACGTCCAAAATAATTATAACGTTGAATGTCTTCTTCTAATTTTCGATCGTATTCTTCTTTAGCTCGTTTTTCTTGTGCTTTACGCATTTGTGCTTCACGCATTTGTGCTTGAAGTTCTTGTTGATAACGTTTTTTTGCTGCTTGTTCAGATTCTTTATCGGTTTCACGGCCAATTTGAAAACCATTATCATTTGATCCTGTACGATTATCATTACGATATGATTGTATATGTCGTCCATTTTGTTGTTGATAGTTTTGTGGTGGTATTTGTTGAGAGTGTTCAGTTCGCATATTTAAATTTGACATTCCATTTGAATTAATTCGTGTTGGACTTGCAGAAACCGGTGGACGATTAAGTATATGAGCAAGTTCAAGATCAACTGCATTACGTTGATCTAATCGTTCTGCAAGTAAAGAATTTAATGCATTTAAATCTTCAGCATAATGTGCATGAGCTACATTTGATGTGCCACCAGCTGATAATCTACTGCTTTCTATAAATAAAATGAAAACAAACGAATAGAAAAATTTAGAAAAAAAAAATTAATTAATATACCTATTTCAAGTTGTTTCTTTCTTATTTCTAATTCTCGAATTTGTGAATGTAATTCTGATACATAATCTTCACGATCTCGAATATATCGTTCATCATAATTACGTGATACTGGTGGTCGTGAACGATTTGTCATATTATCATTTGATGTAAATGCTAATGGTATATCATTCATTGTTTGACTATTCTTTATTGTTCTATTATCATTTTTTTCCCATGGTGCAACAACTTGCCCACCCTGTTGTTGCTGTTGTTGTTGAAATTGTACACGTTTATTTGTATTTTGATTTGTTGAATTTAATTGTGATGTTGATTTACTTTTTGGTATATTCTTTTTTGATTGTAAATATTCATTATATTCACGTTTTAAATCATCTTTTAATTGAGAACGTTTATCATCATAGGTTCCGAATTTATTAAAAAATGCTACTGGATTATCATCATTATTACCATCGGATAGACGACGTTGTTGAGAATAGAAATTTTCTTGTTGTTCAGGAATCGAATTATGAGGAAATGACGGTGGTGGGGGTGGTAGTGATGGAGGTGGATAATAAGGCTGTTGAGATTGCAGACGAGGTGGTGGTTCATCGAGAATTCGAGCAACTTTAAAATCAAGTCGATCTTGTACATTATTAGGTGGAACTGATGGTTGTGGTGGAGGTGGAAGTTGTCGATTTACGGGTTGCCGAGATGGTTGTTTGTTAAGTTGAGATCGTTGACGTTCAATAAAATTGTCGATATCCTGTGAAGCAGCGAGCATATTTTCGTTATTGTTCTTTAAATACGCATGAATAATGAAACAACTAGCGAGAGTAATTGTGTTTTTTTAGTTCTGTTTTTCTCTCGTTAACTTCCATAAACTTCCATTCATGCTTTGCTTTTTCATGAATGGTCACATTGCCTTGGATACCGGGAGGAGAACAATTATTATGGGAGACATATCAATGAACGACTATTATCGCACTCTACAGGAGGAAGAATATAACGATAGTTTCAATATAATGGTAGTGTAAAAATTAGACAAGGATGAGTGTAAGTTCAATAACTCGACAACAGCTACTATTAGTGAACTACGGGTTTCAGAAACTCAAAGGAGAGAATTTCTGGCATCTCGTTGTCTGATACTTTATTGGACAAAATTGTTTTAAAAACATTCACAAAAATGCAAGAAAACAAGATTACGTTTCAAGAAAGTTCGCTAAAAATCAAAACAATTCTATATTATTTGATCGAATATATACACGCTTTGGTTTGCTTAACATTGAGATATGACAATATAATCACTTGAACCGTGTGTTAAATTATAGATTTCAATATCCTCTACTAGAAAAGCATGAAAAATTCAAAATTACATCAGAACGACACACAACTTTTTCGAATTTTTTTTAACGATTATGAGCTTCAAGAAATTTTGTTTTATTTACTATCAGATAAAAAGGCATCCAGCATCTTCCTCTTCCGATTACTAAACATCACCGGCTGCTAACTATTATCGTTATCAAGTGATTAGAATTACGCTCAGGACTCTTTAATTGTGTGTGGATATTAGTGTCATGCACGAGTATTATTGTTAGCAATCGGGTTCAAAGAAGAGCTGATCGAAATTCAGTAGATACTGTCATAGTACGCTTTTCAAATTTTTATTTTATATGAAAACAGATTCCATTTAGCTCCTTCTACAAACAAGAAGACGATTCAAGAGTTACTGGTTGTGTTTCTTCCTCAAATATTCGATTAATTTCGCTAACTATATGTTTGCTTGTTACAAATGATGTTGGAATGGGAAGCAGTGTGTTAGTGCCATGCCTCATCATTGTGGATACATATATGAATCTTTTTTTCTATCATGAGAATATGTGCTCAGTTTTTACGATGAGTTAGTTTTTCTTCGTATGATTTATCAACATCTTTAGATCAATGTTGATTATGAAAAAGGAACTCTTTTAGTAAAATGATATTGCTTTCCATTTTTATCATCTGTTCTCAAGTACGATAAATTGCTCAGATTTTCACTCTTATGCTTTCATATAAATTAGTACTTCGAAAAAGTAAAACTTTTTTAAAACATTAAAATTCAATTAATTTTTCGAGTTCGATTCCGGGTATCAGAACATACTTTGGACCCAAATTGATATTTTTCTTCATGCTTCAAATCAAGTATTCGACCCTGTCGCAGAACATTGATTTCAATCATTCGATGTTTGTTTTATTTAGTGGTACACAATTTCGTTGGAGTGGAACACAAGCTGAAGGTGTACGATGGTCAATGAATAGTTTATTTATTGGTGAATGTCCAGAATATTGTCATGATCGAGGTTTATGTACTGTATCTGGTTGCCAATGTGCTATAGGTTATTCAGGTTAGTGAAGATATTCTATCTTTTTTTTGTTACATCTATTATATAAATGTTAGGTACATATTGTGAGGAATATGTTGGTAAAAAACCTTTACAAACATGGTTTAATGAAACATTTGATGATTTATCTGTAGTTGGTACTAGTGGACCTAATTCTAATAATTGGATTCGATTAAATGGTAAAGGACATATTCGTCATGTTTGTGGTGTAAATATAAATAATAATACAAATAATTATTTCAATGGACAAGCACTTCATTTTGGTGCTGATTGTGGATGTGGTACTGTAGAAGCAATAACTCGTGAACTTAATATTAGTCAAGCAACGTAAGTTTTATTTGTATTAAATTTTAAAATGCAATGAAACTAAATTATTTTTTAATTAGAACAATATCATACGCATTTCATGTAACAACTGAAGATAATTGTATAACAACAAAAGATAATATAACAGTAGCTCTTGAATGGACATATGATGAAGGTATATCATGGTGGTGTCTAGTTACAATGTATAATCAAGAACATGCACAATATTTTAATCTAACATTACCTTCTGAAATGATAAACATAAGTGAAAAACGAAATATTGGTGGTATACGATTTCGATGGACACAAGTTGAACGTGCAGCACATAATATATATTGGGCTATTGACAATATTCGTTTAGAATAAATCTTCTTTTAATTATATATATAAACTTTATCATTGGTTTTTTCCCTTATATTATTGTTTATTGAAATATGCATAACAAAAATATATTTATTCATAGAATGTCCTAAAAGTCCGAACGAATATTATCTGTTCAACATATTTTCAATAAATTATATATGTCCTACTGGCATAAACAAGAAAAAGTTGCACGAAGAGAATCTAATCCTTTTAAGAGAAACTAAGCCACCTTCGGGTTACATCCCACATGGCCATATCAATGTCATAATCACAACAATTCTAATAATAGCGAAATAAAATAATTATCGAACTCGATAAAATCCATAAGGTTTGTGACTATAGTCATCAATTGTGAATTCAATGTGTTTCAAAAGTTTTTTCATTTTAAAAATAACACTACACGCAATTTTCATAGAATATCTCTTACTAAAGTCATTCAAGATTAAACATATTCAATAATTCTACGAAGAGAATTCCCTAGATCATGATAAATTGTGTACGATTTTATCAAGCTTAGAAAAAATGTTTGCAAGAGAATCACTACAATGAAAATGAAAATCGAAAACGAATTTAAAATAATTTCAAACGAAATTTTTTTCCAATGTTTGTTCAATCGTTTAAAATTAATGCACTAAAGTATTGTCGCTGAAGCTTATGTTTTTATAAATCTACTATATATAAAATTAGATGAGCAATTAATGAAACTATAATACTCTTATGCATATCGCTTGAACTATTTGATAACTATCGAGTGTTTTTCGTTGTATTAATTCAGACTTTTAGAACATCGCGCATATTTGCCTTGTGCTAAAACGAAAATTCTCATACTTATTTGTATTTACAAGACTTAATTATGTACGATTTTGAAAAAAAAGCAGAATTTCTCTCCTTTCAATACATCAATAGAATTATTTACATCTGAATAATCTAAACTAACCGTATACCAACATTGTCGACCTTAGTTATATGATTCGCACCTATATTCTAAACTCACACCCATAGTATTGAAGCATCAGACAATCGAGATTATCAATAAGATCCATAGTAGATGTAGTCTATTTATACTAGAAAATGTTTTGAAGGACATCGTATTCGAAGTCTTAAAAATTTTCATATTTTTTCTTTACTTTGTTTCGCTCTTTTAACAGACATCGTGTAATAAAAATTGATCATAAAAATGAATGATTGAAGGGAAAAAATAAAACACGCTAACTTTGCAAATTTTTCATATCTTATTGATAAAGTTTTTGTTTGCTTAATGAATTGTTCCACAAATTGTTATTTTACACAATCAATAAGGTAACTATACTCTTATGTAAATCGGATTAATATTGACAAGGTCATCAACAAACTTGTAATAACATTAATTCTTCATTGAAGTTTATGACGCCTCTTCAAACAAGAAAATACACATTGTTTTTTTTAACTCTTCAATTAATAGCAATAGTAAATACATTGCTAATGTCTGTATGGACGGGTGAATACAAAAGTTAATTCGATTTCACAGCAAAGAATTGATTAACATGTATAGCCTTGAAAAATGAAAAACACATATACAAATAAATTCAACTTTGTTAGTTTGCTTCATTTTACACTCAATTAAAATAGGTAATACTTTATTCGACTCTTATTTACTTCTAAACAAAATAAAAAAATTCAGGTGATTATATAGGCTTCTTCTTATACATGATTAGATGACACAATACTCACTTTGAATACTATTCATTCTCAAACAACATTTTTAAAAAGTACAAATATTCCTATTTGAAAAAAGACAGGTGTGTACATGTTTGCCGCTGTACTAATAAAAGATGTTCTCACTTCAATAAGTTAACTCAAGAGGTAGGCATTACAGTTAATTTATTGCTTTAGAGGCAGATCTAGGTGCATTATTTAGACTCCAATGTGCTATGAATAGTTTGAGAACAGTTTGGATTACTAGTTTATTGTTGAAAAGACTCAGATTTTTTACAATACCTTTTAAATAAATGACATAATCCATCTCAAAAATACTACGATAACTGACTTTTGAATTTTAATATGAAACTTTGTACAGAGACAGATATTAATGAAAGTAATTGATTGTGAAAGTTTCAAATTATTTTGAGTTATTCCTATCCTACAATAACATTTGATTAATGTTTGTCTTTATGCAAATTTTCTAGTCAAAATCTGAAAATCAGTTTTCCTAATAAGTATTCTTGAGGTAGAAAATGCCATTGACTAATAAATATTATAAAAATACAGCTTCTCCACAGGAATCAGCTAAGAACCCAAACCCTTAGGATATTCATAGCTCATTAGGGTCCAAATGATGCACATAGTTTCAATTCAAAAGCGATCAATGATTTAATGATATTCATCATCAGATAACGTTCATGGTAATAAGTTGTACGACATTATTATCATTTTTCGTTGTATCCTTGAACAACTTTATAATATCGATTCAATTTTTCTTTTATAGAATTTAATTTCACAATTTTTTATCATCAAAAGAAGAAAACAGATGGCAAGTAATCTACAAAGACAACGACCTTTGTCTATTTCAACAGTCAATTTCGATGTTGATGATTTTGAAAGATTACCTAGAGAAGAATACATGTAAGCAGAAAAATCAGGAAAAAACAGAAAATTATTTTTCTCTTCACTACATAAACTCCCACATATTCACGAAAAAATAAATTCGTTGAGCAATATTTTTTAAAAAGAAATTCTTCGAATGTAATTTATTGGC